ACCTACCTCCACCATGTTCAAGAGACCACTCAGCAGCAGAGAACAGGAATCTTACTTTTCCTGGGACCTTTACTGATGGCTTTGTCACTAGTTTCGTTTGTTCCGCGACAGCCATTTCGCTTTGATACCTGCGCTCCCTTGGTCTGTTTCGTTGTTCAAACATCAACCTCAATGCATCACCTCCACCATCCGGTATTCATTACTTTTAACAGCACTGGTCACTGTACTAATTACAGTACAGTTACAACTGTAATTTCCGAGAATAATTGCAGGAAGGACGAAACTAGTATACAAACTTTGACTTGAGATGGGATCAGTTCAATTTACAACAGGTTATCGATGACCTGCAGGATTGAGAGGTCCAGGAAAAGTATTCATGCCGATTTCGCTGTTTTATACGTGAAAAATTCATAAACTTCTTCCAACGTATGTTATGGAATTAAATTTATGTTTACGGAAGTCATATATCATTAAAAGATGAAGACTACTTGTGAGGTGGGCAACAGTCAACTGAACCTCTATCAGGTGTTCATCTTCTGGATGACTAACCGATAGACTGAATTGGTCAAAACGGTCGATCTCTGAGCTGGGCCTGTTTCAGCTAAAATTGCATTGTACTGATACGGAGGAAGGTATGAATTCGCTGCTTCACTGAACAATACTTCAACTTAAGGCAACATTTGAAAAGGACAAATAACCTCCCATACGCCAAAGAATTTCGACGCAGTTTTGACGCACGAAATTCCTTCATTTCCGGTTTTGAGTCTGGATAAGGAAAAGTAAAGGATTTAGTACCCTAACGCTGCCTGCAACAAAAGGTTGCTATCTGTCCCTCGTGATATTGTCGTTATCGAACGTTATATCAGCGTGGTCGACGCCCGGGTTATCACAGGCTGCACAATCTGTTGGAGAATCTGACAGACTTCGAAAATCGGCGATCATTGCCTAATTCACCCCATTTGACAGCTAAAGGTGTAGTGGCACTAATCATTGACATGACGAAAACATCGATACAAGTCAACAAAGGAGTCACAACTCGTTCTACAGAAGAAGTACAGACAGCTCGATCCCATTATAACAATTCAGATATGGTTCCACGAGACTGACACAAGCAATGGAAGCTCACGGAAACTCGAATATCTCGTCAATCAGATGGAAAGAGCACAGGCCAATTCATGAGACCGCAACCCTTCAACTCGACAAAGGCACCAGGGCCCTGGAATTCTGAACCACTGAGGTTTATATTCAGGTACAGGTTTAAACTTCGCGAGTCCTTAGGCGAGTGTTAGGTTCTAGTAGAAACCAACCTAGCAGATAGAATCATTGACTGGAAGCCTGTCAGCGTAAGGGTGGTAATTCAGACAAGTTACATACTAAGAAGGGTGAGGAAAGGGTAAGTTACAACAGACTAAAGCGCTGACCTCGTTACAGGTCTGTGCACTCAATTTGGACAGAGAATATGAGACCTTTCTTGAGGAAGTGCAATGTGCTCTGTCCGAAGTGCCGAATACAGAGTCCCTCATACGGATGGGCGATTTTAATGCGCACGTCAGAGTAGACGTTGAAAAGTGGAACGGCGTGATTGGGA